AAATCACCTCTAGATACTCAAAGTTTTCAGCAAACAGGTTCACAATTTCAAAGGAGCTGTTAAGAAATCAAGGCCTGATTTCATGCAGTGCACAGGCTTCCCATAAATCTCTAAAGTCTCATTCCTTTCTACCAGCCACACTTTACCAAACCCTTAACCTCCTCTCAATCCCTAAGCAGCCTCCTCTCTCCCTTCCTTGCACTGGCCTCCTCTGGCTGCCTCCACTTCATGTGACTGTCAGCTGCTTGGGTTCTCGTTTGCCTCTAAACTGGCTCACATCTATGAGCAGGAAAGTGAGAGGATTAAGAAAAGGAGGAAGGAAGGGTTCAGATGGGTGGTGTAGCAACTAGTCATCACTGATAAACTACTGTACCTCTTTTCCAGATATTAGCAGTTGTATAAATGTAGGAGCAGTTAGAAACCTTTAAGATGAAATATCTGGTTTAAATCTGCTTTAAATGAAAACGGACGTTGAGAGGAAAAGAGTTAATTTAGCTATAAATGTATAGGTTTTCGTAGAAACGCTTCACCGACTGCGGAAGTGAGCGGCAACACCAAGATGAATACTAATTGGCTGAGCTAGCTGTCAGTTAACCTAACCGACCAATCATATGCACGGATTAAAAAAACGGTCCTACCTCCGTCTGAGTCACTAAACTTTTCTGTTTTTGTGCTGATTCTGAGCGTACAAAAAGAACATAAAAACGTTTTTTTATGTGAAAATACACCAGGAGGAAGAGTATGTTAGACATAGAAATATCGAAACATGTCAGTCGATGTTTAAATTACACAAATGACCCCCCCAAAAAAAACAAACCAAAAAAAAAAAAAAAAAACTCCAAGTGTTAATAATTGAAGCAAAGGCTCACCGATTCTCTGACCGACGGGCGTTGAAAAGGGGTTTCCCAGGAGGAACTCCATGGTCTCCCCGATAGAAAACATCCTGGGTAAATGGAGCCGGTTGCTAGCCGTTCAGATAACTGTTAGCAGGTATAGAGACTTGTTGGGCTGCTGTGGGGATTGCTGCCTTTCCTTTTGCTGTGCAGCGCTCTGTGGGAGGTCACGTGAAAACCCACGCTCACGCGGAAGCGCACATCCAAAACCAAACATCAACATCACGTTATCTACTAACCATCTATCCCTACACAGTATCAATAAGAAAAACTTAGTGCATCATTAGTAATAATTTATACTACAACATTTCTTTAAATGTATCTTAATGCAAACAATTTAATTAGTATCTATGTATCTGTACCTATATGTTTCAATCCATCTACTTAAAATAGACTTAATGGCCGATTATCTATTTCAATTTTGTTTGATCGTTATTATTATTAGATTTATTACCTATTTTTTCATTATGGGCTTCATTCTTTAAATGTTGTTATTATGGATTTTTTCACACTGACAGACATTTTTCAGACTTCTACTGGTTGAAGTGTTTTGCAGTTTGTTACCT